GTTGCTTATGACCCCCAAGCGGGGGCAGCACCGTGTTGCAGGTGAAGCAGAGGACAGACAGGCTGTCTAGTGTCTCCTGGGCTAAGGCTGCACTCAGAGAGCCTCGGTGCGGGGTTCATCACTGCTGCTGTTGTCTATTAAAGGGCTTCTTTGGAGCTCCAAATGTGGACATTTACAGTTGGTGATGTGACGTTCACATGTGTCTCCTTTGCCTTTGCAGTATTGTGTGGGGAGAGTTCCCGTGGGGCGTGGATGAGGAAGGTGAGCACACAACCATACACACACACCATATACATATCACACACACCACATACATGTCACACACACATCACATACATATCACATACACACCACATACATATCACACACACACCACATACATATCACACACACATCACATACATATCACACACACACCACATACACACCACACACATATCACACACACGCCATATACATATCACATACACACACCACATACATATCACATACACACACCACATACATATCACATACACACACCACATACATATCACACACACGCCACATACATGTCACACACACATCACATACATATCACATACACACCACATACATATCACACACACGCCACATACATATCACATACACACACCACATACATATCACACACACCACATACATATCACATACACACGCCACATACATATCACATACACACGCCACATACATATCACATACACACACCACATACATATCACATACACACACCACATACATATCACACACACGCCACATACATGTCACACACACATCACATACATATCACATACACACCACATACATATCACACACATGCCACATACATATCACATACACACACCATATACATATCACACACACCACACACATATCACATACACACCACATACATATCACACACACGCCACATACATGTCACACACACATCACATACATATCACATACACACCACATACATATCACACACACGCCACATACATATCACACACACGCCACATACATATCACATACACACCACATACATATCACATACACACACCACATACACACCACACACATATCACATACACAACATACATATCACACACACACCACATGCATATCACATACACATACCACATACATATCACATACACACACCACATACATATCACACACACACATCACATATCACACACACACCACATACATATCACACACACATCACATATCACACACACACCACATACGTATCACACACACACCACATACATATCACATACACACACTACATACACACCACACACATATCACATACACAACATACATATCACACACACACCACATGCATATCACATACACATCACATATCACACACACACACCACATACATATCACACGCACACATCACATATCACACACACCACATACATATCACACACACATCACATATCACACACACACCACATACATATCACACACACCACATACATATCACATACACACACCACATACATATCAACACACACCACATACATATCACACACACATATCACACAGACACACAACATGCAAATCACACACACACACCACATACATATCACACACACACCACATACATATCACACACACATCACATATCACACACACACACCACATACATATCACACACACACCACATACATATCACATACACACACCACATACATATCAACACACACCACATACATATCACACACACATATCACACAGACACACAACATGCAAATCACACACACACACCACATACATATCACACACACACCACATACATATCACACACACATCACATATCACACACACACACCACATACATATCACACACACACCACATGCATATCACACACACACCATATACATATCACATACACACACCACATACATATCACACACACATCACATATCACACACACACACCACATACATATCACACACACACCACATACCACATACACACCACACACATATCACATACACAACATACATATCACACACACCACATACATATCACATACACACACCACATACATATCACATACACACACCACATACATATCACACACACACCACATACATATCACATACATACCAAAGACACATACACATCACACACACACGCAAACCACATCACACACATACCCAAAGACATACATATCACACACACACCACATACATATCACACACACACCACATACATATCACACACACCACATACATATCACACACACCACATACATATCACACACACCACATACATATCACACACACCACATACATATCACACACACCACATACATATCACACACACATACCACATACATATCACACACATATCATATACACACACATGCATATCACATACATCAATCACACACAGACACACAACACAGATACACACACTCAGACATACAAACATATACACACAAACAACACACATATCACACACAGACACATGCACACACATATCACACACAGAGACACATACAATCACACACACAGATACACAACAGAGACACGCATACAGGAAGTCATATCACTCACACACACACACACACACACACACACACAGGCTTGTGGATAAACATTCCTGGTTAGCGGTCACTGAAGACCGTGACGGGCTCAGAAGTGATTCATGGTGAATTAAGTCCACCAAAGTCCAACCCAGAAGCTGGGGTCAGAGGGCAGCAAGCTGGTTAGCCCCTGCTGGGTGGGGAGGAGACCCCGCCCAGGCATCCGCAAATAGCCCTGGTTGCTCAAGGCACAGGGGTGAAATGCAGGCTTGAGGGGGTGGAGAAATGGGTTTCTGTGGAAAGCAAGGGCGCACTCGGACATGTCTGCCTGACCAGTGAGGAGACCAAACACTGGAGAGAGCAAGCACCCTTATGCAGGCAACCCAGGAGGGTCCCTTCTGTGTAAGGGGCGGCAGGCAAGTCGCACTTCCCCGAGCGGCCCGCGGCGACCAAAAGCCGCTGCTGCAGCCATCGCGGCCGCCGCGCAGCTGTGCCTGAGCACGCAGAGGGCTCAGAGAGACAGCGAGCGGCTGGGCTTCTTTGTGAAGCTGGGAAGCTGAGCTTTGTGAGGGTCATCGGGAGATCACAGCCACTATTCCTCCAAAGTCGTCCCTGCCAAAGGCAGCAACACGGAAGTCTCCAAATGCTGCCTGTGGGCAATCTGACTTCTTATATTTATTTATATGAAAATAAGATACAGATACACTGTCCACCACGCTACAGGAAACCCCAATTAATGCAGCAAGGCAGCTGGGACCGGCCCCGGGTGTTTGAGAAAAGCACGGGTCCCTTGGGGGAGGGTCTGCAAGGGCCCAGGAGCTCGGGCTTCAGACATTCTGGGGGCTTTTTTGTTTGTTTCTGTCAATCTTGTTGGCTGAAAAGCCTCGGCTGCCTGGAAGAGGGAAGGCGTGGGAAGAGGGAGGGAGCACCGCGGAGAGGGCGCCTGGCTGGTCTGGGCTGGGAAAGTTTGGGATTTTACTGGGTATCATGCATGTGTTGCTGCCACTGGTGATTTATTTGAATTATTTTCTCACTGACATCTCAATGGGCCTGTGTGAGAGAGATTCCGGATTTAAGAAAGAAAGGAAGGAACCAAAGCACAGAGATGCTTGTGGACTAGCTAAGGACACACAGCTTGAATCTGTTCTGTAGCTGCATTAGAGAGCTAAGGAAGAGGCTACTTGCAATTCCTGAGCCTAATCCTGTGACGCCAGGACAGAAAGGGCGCCAACCCCACTTCACCCTACACTCAGAGACCAAGTCCTTTGTCCCTAGAGGCAAAGTTAACTCAAAGACACTCTCAGCCTTGTGTGTCCTGCCCCTAGAACTGCTCCAGCGGGCACCTGCGCTCCCCTCTCCTCCATGTTGGGACAAGAGGGCACGGCGCAGCTCAAAGACAGATTCATTGCCAGGCTGCAGAATCATGGGATTCTCAGCCCACTGGTGTGGGTGGCATGTGTGTGCACACGTGTGCAGCAGTGCGTGTGCAGCATTGCGGCGATGAGCAGACTCACCACACAGCATGCAGCGCAGCCCTCTGCCTGGAGAGGTCTCAGAGGTGGCACTCAGGAGACACAGAAGGGGTTTCTGGAGGGAACAAAAGGACGGTGATTAGCAATGGTCCCTTCACTTAATTACAGGGAAAAAATGTCGACTAGAAAATCCTGTGGGCAAGGCGTCACTGTTGCAGTGACCGGGGTTTGAGAAGTCTTGGGCATGGGTGGCGTACACACCTAACTAGGGGTCTCCTATGGGGGTGGGGCATGTCAAGGCTGTTCATCACCCTAGGCACAATATGTCCAGCGGGGACACAGGCTGGGAGAGATGAGGACTTCTGGGTGAGCTTTCTCCTCTTCCCCTTTTCCCTTTCCCTTTCCTCTTGGACAGCATCCCTGAAGCTGTGGGAAGTCAGCTAGAGGACTGGATTGGAAGGCAAGATTGTAGCAAGGTCAAAATGGTATTTTAGAAAAATCGCTCAGCGAAAATAAATCTGTGTAAACCATTACTCAGCTATCCCCCTGTCCCCGGTAAGGATTGGGGTAAACACAGTCAAGGATGTGTTCACAAGCTTAGCTACCAGAATGTTCTCTGTGGTGCTATCAGCAATGGCATAAAATGAAAACAGCTTAGGTCTTTTTAATCGGCTGAGCTGGATCACATTAATTAAAATGTGGGTGTGTGGCATGCCCTTCTCGCTGATCCGTTCAGATACCACCTTTATTTATGTATTCAGGGTTTTATTTTTGAAATAATATAATGAGCACCGGGAACCCTTGGCCTCCCCCTGATGAGTAGGGTTTTGACCTGCTTCCATTGGCACACGCTCTCTGGAGAACACTGCAGCTGCGAATTTCAATAACAGAACACGGGGTAAGCCACAGCATTGCATACATACGCCAGAATATTAACCAGCTCTTAAAAAGAGGGAAACAGCCAGACCAATTGTCCTTTAATGGACCTCTGCATTTTACAAAGAACCAGATTAATCATGACCCTTTCCTCATAGACATTTTCCTATTATTGGTCCAAGGCATATTGCCTTTTATTCTGCTAATGTATGCACTTATATAGTCATTTGTGTTCATGTCATAAATACTCGTGAGCTCACTACCCAAATCTATAGCACTCAGTGATTACTTACACCTGTCAAGATAAAGGAGCCCAGATTTCAGGCTGGCAGTGAGATGGTTAAATGAGCTCCGGTGTGTGTGCCGTTCGGGAATCTACGGTGCCGGGTGTCATAAGGAAGGCTATGGATCTCTGTTATTGCCAAGCACATTCTGCAGGGAAGAAAACAAGCTGATACAAAATGCAAAAGGAAAAACTCGAGCTCTAAAATAGCCCCTTACAGAAGGGACACGTTAAGAGGTGTCTTTACAGACATATGCAAATGTACAGAAAAATGCAGGCTCCTAGGACAATTACGGCCCCTAATTGAAGGAGGGGGCTGAGGGAGGGGCTAAGTGTTAGGCGCACATTGATTTTTGCCGCTACTGATCAATTAGCAGTGCATTTCCTGTATAATTACAATAAATATTTCGTGGAGTAGCTTTTCTGTAGGTTTTTTTAAATTGGCTTTTACAAACAGCAAACAAATGCAACGGGCATTTTAGCTGACAAATTACAAGTCAGTTATAGGTGCCCAGAGCAAGTTCTGCACACACAGGGACTCGAGGTTTATCTTTTTCTCTTCCTTTATTTATTTTTTTTATTTTTATTTTATACGTTCCAACACTGAAACACTAGCCGCATGCAGCCTGTCAGTGGCCAGCAGGTGTGAGCCTGAAGCTATGATTTCACCACCATGGTCTCCCTCCCACAATGTCTGCAATGTACCCACGGGGGGAGCATTTTCCCTTTTGGTCTTAAGAGGCCAAGAAAGCTAATGCGCTGGCCCGTGTTGTAGGGGATTAGCTGTATGGAATGAGAACGCCAAGGGAATGTGACTTGAGATAGATGTTGGCAAAGGGGACATGGGCCTCTGGAGAAATGCAGACACAGCAGCCCGAGTGTGTCAACAGTGGAGCCTGCTTGCTGGCAAAGAGCCGGGACTTGCTGCGTGCTCTGACAGTTTAACTCTTAAGCAGCATACACGGTTACCGTGTACCTTCAGAGTCTGACCTGGGTGGCCCTGCACCAGCTTAGCTAACCTGTTCAGGTAGCGCATGGTACCCTGAACTCCTCTGGAGACCCCTTCTTTCCAAGGCACCTGGAATCTTGCTTGCAGAATTAAGCTTCAGACCCAGCCAGCTAGTGAGGCCCCTGCAGCTGTCACAGGCTGTCAGATTCTCCGAACACCACAGGGCTGAGTGTGTGACAAAGATAATATGATTACACCCACATCTTCAGAGAAATGCTTGCGGCTCATTGACCCCCAAAACAAAAAAGATTAACCCTCTCTAAACTCAGCAGACTGAAACTTTATCTACCTTTGTCCTTGCAAAGCCACTTTTTCGTCTGAGGAAATGAAGACCAGTTTCCCACTGTGATTTTAGGCACAAAGAAAAAAAAATCCGAGGCCAGGCCTTAATCAACTCTGTCACATTTGAGGTCTTGCTATTTTGTGCATAGGATTTGTGAGGTGGGCGCGGTACCCATGAGTACCTTAGGGTAATAGGCAAGGGTCTGTCTGTTTCATTTTGCATCTGACAAATGCAAAATATTTTTATGACGAATAAGAAGCAGCAACAAAAAAGCATTATTCAGATGAAAGTCCCTACACTTGGCCTGCAGCCGGGGATTGCTTCCACGTGGAAACAGATAGCCTGAAGAAACCTGTGTAAACCAGGAAAACACCAGTAAGAGCCAACGTTGCCTCCAGAAAACACCCCAGGGGAGCCCAACCCTTTCCTCGGTTTACATTCTAATTCCAAAATGAGGAGAGGGGCTTGGAGATTGGTCCAGAGGAGGAGGTCCTCCTAGGAATCACCTTTGCATGTGGCAAGGACTCCCCACTTGTCTGTTTCATCTATCAAGACTTGGCCATTGCTGCCCCGATCTTACAGAAGTGGGAAGCAGCTACAGTCGGGGTTCCAAGGTCACCCACCTCCTCAAAGGGGAGATGTCCTCCCTGGCCCTATGCAAGCCTCTAGCCCCTATCAGGGGTGCCATAGGGGCCATCGTCACATCAAGTGATAGGTGTTAAAATCTCCCTTGGTCACACATACAGAGGCAGGGATACCAACTGGTTAGGGCTGTATCCTCTCCACTCCTCCAGGAAGCCCCTTCGCCCCAAAGGAACAGACAGTAATAGAGAGAAGTGCATACATGCCTGGCTGGGCAAGGAGTCTGGGCTGCTGGGTCGCCAAGGTCATATAGGACAGACCACCCTGGCACGGACCAGGGCTCCCTCTGGAATCACTGGCTCCCTGCCCCCTAAGGGGCAGTGAGCCCCACCTGCAAAATGAAGGGCTTCCGTTAGTTCCATTCTGGAAAATTCCACAAATTTGCAAATTCTCTAAATTAACATGTTAGAAGGAAGAAAGATCATTTCACAGACCTTTTTTCCTGATCCTGGCTGGGCATCTCCCCCCTTTCTGGGAGAAAGGAGCCATCTTGTCTTTAGGCTACCTAGGAGAAGGAGGAGAAGAGAAATCACTAAAGATGAGAGTCAAGTCAGGAATCCCCTGCTTCCCTGGGCCTTGGGCCCAAGCCTCATTGCCACCAGTAGACCTACTGTGTGCCTGAAGCAGATGAGACTAAGGCCACAATTTCTGACTACCAGTCTGACCAAAGAGGTCACCATGGACAGGATTCAGCATATGGGGGGGACCATCCTGGGAATATTCTGGCAGTGGACCTCAGCAGGAAAGGTTACTGGAAAAGGAAACTGGGTGCCAAACTCACATCGAATCTCTGTTTGCTGGAGAACTAACTAACTAGGAGTCCCCCGTGAGGTGCTGGCTAGCTAGCCAAGTGCTCAGGAGCACAGCTCAGGACAAAAGCTGAACACAACAGCACCAGCCCAGGCACAGGAAAGCAGAGGCATGGACTGGGCTTGGCTCTAAACAGGACCAGCAGGCCCGCACAAACTAGCCAGGCCTCGTCACACTTTTCTTTTCCAAAGTGAGAAATTTAAAAAGTGATGCCTAAATAGACTATCCTAAGGACTGAAAGAATCCAAGTGTGTGAACACCCACCAGACATGCCTTGCGCATGGGAAATACAGAGAAGGGCAGAAGAGGTGTCTCAAAGCAGGAATCCTGTTCTGGGGATGAGGTGAGGGGACTGGGGAGTTACCATTGGGTGGTGCCTCCATAGCTAAGAAAATGCATTCATTCAACAGCTTCCTGAAAGAAGCAAAGTTCGAGTCCAGCAGGACCACAGGAGAGCCACTTGGACGCTTGCAGCCAAGGTAAGCAGGGGTAGAGGTCCCATGCTGGCCCCTGCCCAGTGGGGAGGGGGCGCATCTAGTCAATGGATAGGGTGTGGCCCTGCTCAGGACTAAAGGTTAAAGGGTTAATTTGAACATATTCTGGGGTACTCAATACCTCTATTCAAATACTTGAGCTGCTATAATTAGTGGAGTCTCGGCCAGCTGTCTTATCCCATCCTGTCCCTCTGCTGACACCAAATAAGACAACATGAGTTGAGAATGACAGCACAAGCCTTTTGGGGAGATGGAGGCAGACACTGAGGCCCCCACTTCTGTGTCTGGCTGCCTGTCAGGCCACGAGACTGCCCGCATCAACACCATGGAATGAAGGCAGCCTTTGGCCACGAGGCCCAGGTCCCCAAATGGCAACTGCCTGATCCCTCTTTGGGCACCTGTTTCTGTCTGTGCCATCTACCAGGGGAGGGGGAGCAACCTGGCTTAGAGCCCTGACCCTGTCTCTGACTTGGCCTTGCTGAGTGCTGGATGTCAGCACCAAGCCTTCTAAAGGTCTGTTTAACTCTGCAAAGGGGTACGAAACCTCTCCAACAATGGCGTTAAAGCTAAGATCGAGCATAGCAAAGGGCAGATTTCTCTGTGACTGAAAAGCTGTAGTTAGCGCTGTCCGAGGCATAGGGGCTACAGGTGTGACTAGACCACCCTAAGTCTTCAGCATGGCCATACCCTGTCCCTAACAGAATAGTTATCAACCTCTCTTTGCAGTGGGTAAGAGTGGTTGTCACTGGACTGGGTTTGCATTCTTGCCAGCGGATCTACCTTTTGACTCTAGTGTATTCTTTTCAATGCGAGGCTTGTTCCTGTCATGGGACTAATGAGAAAATTAAAGTTGACACTGTGTGTGCAATGCTGTCTAAATCTCGACCCCTGCAATTAGAGTGGGTGTTCTAAAAGCAATAATCAGATAAGCCCTAGTAACAAGAACAGGCCTAGACTCATGCGCAGTTTTTCAGTTTACAAAGGGAACACTTCCTTCCGTTTCTAAGCGGGCAAAGAGGGCGGCAGGGCTGGCTATCCTCTCTCCCTGGCCCTAGCCCTACCTCTCATGATCCTTAGGATGAGGTCTACTTGCTTGAAGTCACCATACCCCCACTCCTGCACCTGCAGCAGTTAGCACGCATCCATGTAGCCGTTGTCTGTGGCAACGGAGCTTGCCAGAGCCGGGCAGGACCTGTAAAGTCAAGGCATGTGCCGGAAGAAGCCACTCTGTGCTTTAAACCCTTGCGTAGATTGGGAGAGCTCGATTTAACCAAAACCAGGACCCTAACTGCTAGGCGTAGCTATTACAGCTGGGGGAGGGCAGGGGTCTCTGATCTCCACCTTCTCACTCAGGCACAACCTTTGCCTCCACAGCCTGCGCAGCCCCACAAGCACCACGTGGAAACCCCAGTAAGAACGCCAAGGGGAAACTGAGGGCCAGGTTTGAAAGAAGGTCATATGGAAAGTCAGGGCCCAGCAGGGTAGCCGATGCGCAGGCTCCATCCCTATCCAGGCTTCATCTCTGCCCAAGCGCCTTGAAAGGAAAGTTTAGGCAGAGGAGCAGCTGATTGGCTGCTGCTGGGGCAGCCCAAAGAGGAAGGGTTTGCTCCTGCACAACTCCACAGCCCCTCCCGGAGTGGCACACTCTCACCAACCACGGTTATTCCGGGAGAGTGATCCAGCTGCCCCCCAAGCTGCCAGTTAAACCGGCATGGGCCAGGACACAATGCTGCTGGGTCAAGGGCGCCCGTTCTGCCTGTGGATGGTTAGGCAAGTAACAGGCTGAGGGTCGTCTGCTAGAGGCTAGCCACCCTGGTAGGAAACCCGAGATTTTCTCTAATTCACTTTCTACCCGAGTCATGGGATTCCCTCTTCGAAAAAAGGCTTAGTTGCCCCACCATGGAGATAAAGGCCTGATGAACAAGGATTACTATGCTGACCACGGAGGGGGGGGGGCTGCTTGTTTTCCTGAGCAGAGAGGTGAAGGGTCTCCCAGCTCAGATGTTCAAGTCTGGGTGGGTTCGGTAGCAGAGGCCTAGATAGGAGCTGGGCCCAGCCTGCTCGCTGTGGATTCTAGGGGCACTGAGACCGTAGCATCTGACCCAAGCTCCTTATGGGGCTTTAGGAAGTCCTAGTCCCTCGCCAGCAAGCTGAATAAGAAGAGGGGCCCGTGTACTCTCTTCCACCAGGGAAAATAACAAGGTTCCTAAGGCTCCGCCTGCCAAGGACACATCTTGACCGTGACATTTGTCTAACAAAGTAGATGAATAACATCATTTGTATCCCGCATTGTCCTTGCATGTCCACCCCGTCCTGGGGCTGCATTCCCATCCACGGCACCAGAAGGCCAGGGCAGTAGAGGAATGACGGAAACATATTTGTTCTGAGGCCACTTAGCCTTGAAGACCAGGTTGGTTGTGTCTCTCACACTTCAGTGCCTCTGGGTGCCTCATGCAAGCCCACAGTCACAGGGGTCTTCACTTCATGCTCTTCCTGCAGCCCAGACCCCGGCTATGACAGGGCAGGTCTTCTCATTCCCCTGCTCGACTTCACCCTCCTCCTAGGCTCCGGGGGGGGGGGTGTGGGGGCTCCTGCACTCCTCCTCTGTCCTCACCTTTCCCCTAATTCCTCCACCCCCGCCCCCCGGCCCATGCCCAACACTCAACTTGGCTCCCAAATATCGTCTCATCTCCTCTTCCAAGCTCTATTTTTAAAATCAGATTTCATTTACTGTACAGGGAAAGGTATTCACTGAGGGATTTGCCCCCCCCGGCCCCCCCTCCACTGAACCCTTCATAGATGCTCCGTGGCAGCCCTGACCCCATGGGCCACTTGCTCAGAGGCAAGCAAGGAGCTGACCTGACCGAGTCTCGGGACACTAAGAGTGGTGAGACTGGGGTGTCTGTCTTGAGTGTTGTGGGATAGAGGGTCCCAACCAAGACCCAAAGGGTAGTCCTACCCCTAAGAGCTCGACCCAGATTTTGTTAGAAATTTCAAATGAAAAGGAAATAGGTGAGGTTTGAGAACAGACATTGGAATGAATCTGAGGGACAGAAGATGCTCCTTGCACACAGCCTAGAGGCATGCAGGGTGGGCTGGTGGAGAGCAAGAGGCAGAGGGAAGCCTAGGTGATTGTCAAAAGACCTCAGAGAGAACAGAGGCAGCAATCGGCATGGCCAAGTGCACCTGGAGAGGCAGATCCCTGAGCTGGGCCACCTGGTGTGGAGGGTCCGTCCCCTCCACAAGCAGCTCTCACTCACGTCCAGAAGCACCTTTGGGTCCAGGGCGCAGGGCTCACCTCCTGGCTGCTGTGGGACGGCTCAGTGGCACCCATCTCCAGTTCTTCGGGGTCCAAGCCGGCTGCCTAAGGCAGAAAAGAATGAGAACAGACGGCTGAGTGAACTGAATAATGGACTGAATATTGTAAAAAATACAAAGCTCTGGGAAACACAAATGTTAAGATGGGTTTAGGTTCTCTCAAGAGAAACGCCTAAGGACAAACAAGGGAGGAAGCTATGGACAGCTAAAATATTTTATTCAATGCAAAACAATTTAAGCTCTAGATTCCCAAGCATATGGGTCCATCTATACATTTTCAACACGAGATATGCTTGCTCCAGGCTCCATTCAGCACTGGGGCACTTGGATTTTATGTTGTGAACATGAAATTTAAAAGGTTGGAAGCTGAGAGTCCCATGATTAAATGACAGTGTCACTCAAAGATAGTGGGACTTTTAAACATTGTTGGAAATGTGTGGGAAGATCTTAAGCGGGAGTTCTGTGAATCGATTTGGGTCTCTGCAGCAGAAATCTGGACTTTATTTTTGAGGGGTGGCAGGATCAAAATTTCTATCACACTAAGGGCTTTGGGCTTCTGCCAAAAGGCTTTTAAAAAACTAAATGGTGAGATTGTTTGCTTGTGGGAGATAACCCTGTAGAAAGCATGATAAAACATATTTTATGGCTAACAGCTTTGGACTTTATTATTACAAGCAACAAGAAACACTGAGAAATCATAAATAGGAAAGTTAACAGGCACACATTTAAGGATCGTGCCCAAACATTCTGACTTTATATGTTGAGGGAGTGCCAAAGTTTGAGTCTCAGGGCATGCCAAGGAGATATGATTAATGTTGACACTGAGGAAAGGTTTTAATTAGAGACTTAGATGGCCGAGGTGGGGACTGTGCAGAGAAATTTGGAATTTATTTAGAGGCTCTGACGTGATGAGGTTTTTGCACATGCTTAAAAATTTGATTTATCCAGTTCTAACGGAGTGACATGGTGAGTTTTTTTGTGCCTGATAGATACAGCATAGCATGGTTATGAAATAAAATTCTCACTGTATGCCAAGAATCTGGACTTTTTATGCCGTGCACTATTAACAGACATTGTGGGTTTTTTTTTAAGGTGGAGTTACGAGCTCAAATTCAATGAACTGTGTTAAGGCGTGTGAATTTCATTCTAAGGGATTACATATCAGATTATAATATCACTCCAAAAAGTTTGGATTTCAGCCAATGAGGGTCTTAAAGAGTGATGTGGAAAGATTTGTTGGTTGGTTGTTTTATTTTATTTTGTTGTTGTCATTGTTGTTTTTGTTTTTAAATAGACCAGCCCAGAGGTAAGTGACATGATACGATACTGCACTGTCTGTTAAGAATTTGGGACTTTATGCTACAAAGAAACTGCAACGTTATAAATCTGGGAGTGACTCCTGATGGTTTATGATTACGGCGGAGAGGAGAGTGGATATTAGAACATGGTTAGGCATGTGGGCCATGTACACATTGAAGGCACTGATGTATCCTGAGTGAGGGGTGAGGTACCATTTTTAATCCTTTTGTGTGGGGAGGGGGCTGCTTGGAGTTTGGCCAAGGAAGGATTTTAAGGAGTGAAGTGGTCAAGTGTTTTGTCTCCACAGGAATTTGATGATTTAAAACATGATTTATGCTAAGGTGTGTGGGTTTGATGAACTGTTCAATGCATGGGTGAATGTCCACTGCCCCTCGGCATGAGGGCATGCAGTGGGGTTTTCTGTGCTAAGAAGCTGGGTAGCCTACAGCATGGGCTGGGAAGTTAGATGACATTCACATAGCATGTCAGGTTTAGACACGGTTTTGAGGAATGCGAGGAGCACACTGTCATGCCATGCTGAGGAATTTGGACTCCTGCCATGATGAGATTTTAGGAGAATGACATCATGAAGTTTGTGTGTTGGAGAAGCTCAGTCTGCTGAGAAATGTATGACTCTATGAGAACTCCCAGACTTGGTCTTATAGGTAAGACAGAGACTTGGTTTGGCTGTAAGCAGAAGATACAGGAGCCAGTGCGTGCATGTTACAAGGAGTTATCTTGTAAGAGCATGATGTGACAGCAGTCAAGGGTTTCTGGGGTGGCCTATGAAACTGAGAATTTTGTATTGATTAGCTGCCAATTAAATCACATGGTTAAAAAATTAATTTATGCTAAGCAATTAGAACTTCATAGTAAAGAGTGGAAATCTGTGTGTGTTAAATAGGAAATCATGAGATAAACATTGTTTATCATGCTAAAAGTTTAAATTCTGATAGCCAAGCTTATTAAGATATTTAGAACACTAGATTCTTGGGTTGGAGCCTGGAAAGTAGAAAGAGACAATTATTTACATGATCAAATTTGTGTAGACTTTTTCTTAGGAAGTTTTTTAATTAGATTGCTACAAATTTAAATTTAAACCGCCATCTTAAGTGGGAGACCTGCTGGGATTTTTATGTCCAACAGATGAACCTGTAGATGAGTTAGTCAAATTTTACATTTCAATAATAGTGCATGCCATAAAGGACGTTCATGAGGAGGAAATGAGTTGATTTATGCAATATGCTGTGCATGTTTCTGAGATCTTTTTTTTTACCTAATTTGTTCACCAGGTTTAGAAACTGTGATCTCTACCTCCAGGAATGACAAGTCCAACTTGTGCATTGTGCTAAGGTCTTTTAATTTTAGCCAGAGAATGGTTTTTGGTTAAGTTTACATGTCAGATGTGTTTATACAAAAGATTTGGATTTAATGTTGCAGACAGTAAATAAACAGTGAGAGGCTTTAATCAGAGGGATTGCATGATCAAATTTAAGTGTCATGCTAACAAGGGTATGTCTAATGCTGAGAAAGTGCAGATCCGAATTTTCTATCCTGCTGGAAGGTATGGATTTGAGCCAATTGGAGTATTACATAAAGAACAGAACGGAGGTTTTTTTGGGGGGGTGTTTTTTGTTTTTGTTTTTATTGTTGTTTGTTTGCCTGTTTTGCTAGATCAGCCTAGTGGCCCTAAGAGAAAAAATTGAGATGTAACAGAAGGTGTTGAATTTATAAAGACAATAGCTGGATGGCTGGGCTATTGAATAGCTTAATTTGTTTTGCAAACCAATACATCCCTTTAAATTCAATTTCCGTGCATTAAATCCTCCCATTGCCAGATTTTTAAAAATTCCAAGACAATCAGATTTCAAAGGTCCCGTGCCCTCCTCTCAGCCAGCTTAGTACTTCTGCTAGATACCCCACTGAACTGGAGGAAATGAACATTGACAGAGAAAAGGGGCTACTTTCAGGAATGAGAAGCTCTCCCTGCTTGAGCAGAAGGGAAACTTGGAAAGATAGGATCCAGAAAGCATGCAGAAATGTTTGCATGAACAGAATTGAGGCCAGATGTTTCAAGCTCCAGGAGCCCTGCAGACCAGGGCAATCCTGGGAGGGTAGATTTTAGAGAAGTTGGGAAGGGTGTTTGGAAACCTCCAGCTCAGCATTGGAGAGAACATGGCTTTGGCTGAAGATCAAACTGAGAGGGAGAAATCCCCATCTCACCCCTCCTCACCCCACCCAGGATGAAGCTACAAAAGTGCAAGTTTTCAACACACAGTAGGCATTTTATAAACATTTATGGGGAGAAAATTAAAACCATAAGTCATGCTCTCTCCCACTTATTTCTGGTTGCGGCCTGAAGGAGGAAATAAGAGCTACTTTTGGCTGCTGACCCAACTGGCAGGGTAGTGGACAAGAGCCCAATTTCTCTTCTTTCCCCAAAGTTTGTGAGACGGCAAGCATCTCCCTGCAGCATCCCGCCTCCAACCGAGCATGCTGGGCTGGCTCCAGACCACTAAGCCTGCCAGCAGTGGCTTCGAGTGGCATTGAGATGTGACCTTATGACTTTCGGGTGCCTAGAGGCCGGAAGGGAAACTGACCAGGCGTGGGTGCCAGGGCAAAATGGGCCAGAAGTGTGCCCTGCCAGATGCTTGCCACAGAGGATGCTCTGGGCCAGTTGCTCCACAAAATTTATGGACTGTGAATTTCTCGTTCCACTGGAGGAAATAGGCGGGCGGGGCAGTCAGTCTCCGACTCCGCCTGGGAGGCAGGTCAGGGGTTGAGCCTCTCTCCTCGGGGTGCCCCAAGTGACCAAAGGAGGAGGAGGTTGTGTTGTATACAGGGAGAATTTCTCTGGTTTTACTCTGTTTCTAATTACTTGGGCATCTGGTTTGTCCTTGAGAATCTGACCCTGACATCTTGAGACCCTAAATTGCTGCTTTTCCTTCTGCTTTTATCCCTTCTGCCCATAGGTTCTGATCTCCCCAGCCGCGGTCTCTGACCACACAACTCACAACCTTACCCGTCTTCAGAGCGCAGTCCTTTCCAACCGACGACATGATAGAACCCTCTGAAGACTCATTTGAGACGATGATGGAGCTTAAGAATCCATCATCAAAACAAATGGAGTCCTCCGAGGGCTCATCCAACACCGTTGAGGAGACACCAGGCAGCAGCGGGGCACAGGCTCAGGCAGAGGCGGGCTCCACCACTGGCCCAGCCCAGGAGCCACCCAGTGGCTCGGTCGAGGAAACAGAAGAGCTGCCCACTGATCTACTCCAAGACATGGAGAAGTCATCCAGTGGTCCATGTGTGAAAACAGAGGATCCACCGAACGACCTACTCCAAGACTTGGAGGAGTCATCCAGTGGCCGGGATGATGAAAGAGAGGATGCACCCAACGTTCCGATCCAAGACCTGGAGGAGTCCTGCGACATATCACACGAGGAAGAAGACGACGACGATGAAGATCCACTCAGTGAGGCATCTGACGGCCTGTATTCAGTGTCGGCCAATTCCTCTGAGACCCCGACAGACGAGGATGACGAGACTAACCTGGAAGATGCGAGTGGGGAGTTCGGAGAGAGTCAGCCCGGGAGCTCTCCAGAAGAAGTCATGGCCACGATGGGGTCCATCATCTCGCTGTTCCTCCGGATGCAAGACGTCAGACAGCAACAGATAGTGGCAGAGGAGATCTTGACGGATGCCATCGACGAAGGCCGGCTTCCTTCCATCAGGCCCTTCACTGGAGATCGCAGAGACTACCATGAGTTCGTTGTGCTCTGCCAGATGACCATGCAGAACTACCCAGCAATGTTCCAGAACGATCACGTGCGAGTGAAGTTTTTCATCCGCCATATGACTGGCCTGGCCTTAGAGTGGGCCAACGCCCTGATGGAGCAGGACAGCCCCCTGTTGAACGACTTCTCAGCCTTCATCGAAGCCATGTCAGAAAAGTTCGAGTACCGGCAGACGCTGCGTGTGGCAGAAGACGCCATGTTCAATATCAGGCAGGGGAACCGCACTGTTGCTGATTATATCAATGAGTTCCAGAGTCTGGTACCCACCTTGGGCTGGCCAGATGAAGTCCTGCAGGCCCACCTGTGCCAGGGGCTCAATGAAGACATCAGGCATTATCTGTTCCGGATCCCTCAGCCGGATTGCCTGGAGAACCTGATGGTGCTTGTCCTGCAAATTGAAGATAAGCTGGCAGAGAGAAGAGCAATACTCAGGCTGCCCCCTGAGTCCCGCCCAAGGAACATGACCTGGATCGACTCACCTGCCCCAGAGAAGTGGAGGGTGAGCAGCTGGCTGCCCTACACCTTCCACCCGGACATCGACCGTGCCCACATCTTCCTGTTGCTCATGGTGAGGGTTAGCCCCTACCACAGTGTCGCAGTGCAGGCCCTGCTGGACTCAGGAGCAGAAGGGAACTACATGGATGAGAAGTTTGCCCAAGAACACTACGTGGAGCTCTATGAGAAACCCTATCCACAGGCGATCCAAACGGCGGATGGCTCCCTAATCGGCAATGAACCCACGTGGCTGTACACGGAACCTCTGATGTGTGTCCAGCAGAACCATTATGAATACATCGAATTTGACATCGTACCTTCGCCTCACTTCTCTGTGGTCTTGGGCATCAAGTGGCTCCGAACCCACGCACCTGACGTTGACTGGATCAGAGGCCGCTGCACCTTCCACTCTCCCTACTGCCTGAAGAACTGCTTCAACCCACCCCCACCATGCATCGCACTGGAGAAATACAGCGTGAGCCTGCTACCCGGATTGCCACACCCATACTCAGACCTGGCCGACGTGTTTAACCCGAAGGAAGCAGATGATGAGACTTCCGACCAGCCAAGCTCAGACGGATCCGATGATCTTTCTGAATCAGAGCCCTCTGAGCTTCAGCAGGCTGGAGACAGTGATCGCAACGACGTCTATTACGAGTGCCGTTCCAGGGCTCCTTGGGTATCTGTGACTGCCAGGATGCAAGAAAAAGCCAGGCAGCAAGAGGAATACTGGATACTGTATGACATGCTGACTGACAGACAGGACTACATACAGATGATACCAGAACTGTTTGACCAGTTACATGGAGCTGCATGGTTCACAAAGCTGGAGCTGCGCAGGGACATTAAGGAAGCCGATATCAACTACAGCGTCACACGCACAGAGGACACATGGAGAGCAACGTTTGGCTTGACCCTTCACCAGATGAGATGCTACCGGCCCTTCACAATGTGCTCATTCGCTGATGAATCTGACAATGAGATTCACTTCATCCTAAAAGACATCCTAGGTTTCTATGTGATTGCCCGTGGCCAAGAAGTCCTCATCTACTCAATGAGCCAGGAGGAACACTTTGAGCACGTCCGCCAAGTCCTGCTCCGCTTCCGCAGTAACAACATCTACTGCTCACTGGACAGAAGTCAGTTCCATCGCCACACCGCAGAGATCATGGGCTTCGTCCTATCTCCCAAGGGGGTGAAACTCAACAAGACTCTCATGAACCTCATTATGGGGTGCCCTGTGCCTGGCAGCAGAAGATGCCTGCAAACCGTCATCGAACTCGTCTACCCCTACCGCCACTTCGTGGAGCAATTTGCCGTCATCGCAGACCCCCTGGTGAGACAGCTGCTGAGCTCAGAGCCCTACTACTGGGGAGAGGAGGAGCAAGAGGCCTTCGAATGCCTGAAGAGGGCTTTCCGTAAGGCGCCCATTCTCTACCATCCCAAGCCTCAGAATCCATTCTACCTGGAAACGGGCGTCACTGGGCCATTCCTGTATGCCTCCCTGGTCCAGACCGATGAGGAAACTGGCAAAAAAGCTACCTGCGCTTTCTACTCACGACGCCTCTCCCCAATGGAGGTGGAGTACCCTCAAGTGGAGTTGAGGATCCTTCCAATCCGGGCTTCCTTCATGGTGTGGTGCCGCTACCTGGAGAACACCGAGGAGCCCATCATGATCCTTCTCAACACAGAGGATCTAGCCTCCCTGAATAATGACAGGCTCACCGTACTTCTCCCCGGGCATTGGGTCTTCTTCTTCTCTCACTTCCATTTTGATGTCATGGAGCTGCCCGATGATGATGACACCCGAGCCCTGTCCCAAAGGAGATGTCTGAACCAGAGAGCTGCCCGAGGAAGGTACATGAGGCCACTGCTGCTGCTTGCCTTGAGGGCGGGCCAAAGGGACTCCTCCCCCGAGTCTGAGTCTGAGTATGAGTTGCAGTCCGAGTCTGAGTCTGAGTCTGAGTCTGAGTCTGAGTCCGAGGACAGTGACGTCCTGTCATACCAGGAATCTGAAGACTTCAGTCAGCAGACCTTGGTGCAGGGGATACTGGCTGCCATCCCGATAGAGCGGATCCTCAATAGCTTCCTGGCCCACTTCAGCATGGCTCAGATCCGGACCTTTGTCCTGCACTTCTTCCGTAGCCTGATCTACTGGAAGAACGTCCTGGGTGTGGCAGCCCTCCTGGCGATGATGAGGGTGAGGCAGCGCCTCTCCCCGGTGCCGGCCCCCTCTTGGGAGGTGGACAGGCCTCAGCACCGACACACACTCCGACTCATCCTGGACTCTAGCCTCATTGCCGGGAGTGGCATGGCCACAGCCATCGCTCAGTTGTTCAGTCAGATGCCCCCTCTTGTGGGTGCCAACACCCTCCCGGCTCGAGAGCTGGCCGAACTCTTCCTGGGCCCCAGGTGCTGGCATTGGAATGCAGTGCATTCCCGGCCCCGAAGGGGCCTGCAATTCACACCCGGGTTCTGGTTGACCCTGTGTGAGTTCTTCGGGGTCAGAGTCAACCCCGAGGAGGACATCTTCCCTGCCCCACACCAGCACCGATACTTGGAGCTGCACGTCGTTGGTGATGAAGATGTCGTCTTGCGAGAAGCCCTGCAAGACGACCTGCAACGTTACCGTCAGTGTGGCCTGCATGACGGCCTGCAAGACACCTCGCAGGACGCGCAGGACAACGACGTGCAAGAAGACCTGCTTGGCGACCAGGAAGCGGTCACCTACCGCCCACGGAATCTGTTGGACCCAGAGGTCCTAGATTTCCTCAACAACCGCCTTCTCTACATTCTTGGTGCCGATGGCCGGCTTACTCTGTTTAGTAGGAATGAGGTGGCCCGGACCCTTGCACGATTCCTGGCCATGGCCTCCAGAATGGTCCCGCCGTCCCCAGCCAGGGAACGGGCAAGGCTAGAACAACTATCAGACTCATCAGATGATGAGCTTGACTGAAAACACGACCAAGTCGCTGCCATCCTTCCTCGTGCCTCAGCCAGCTTCGCTCAAATCCAGCACCCCCTCTTGCCACTCCTGACCCAAGGGGAATCCACTTGTGAAGGGGCCACACAACTTCACCTCATCAACCAGCAAACATCATCTGTGCTAAAGGACTAGCCAACTATCAGCGTCCCAGGGCCAGCCAAGACTGTGCAACCCTGTCCTAAATGTCCAAGACTGTGCAACCCTGTCCTAAATGTCCAAGACTGTGCAACCCTGTCCTAAATGACCGGGCCCCAGGCCCACAGCCGGGAGTGAGATCAATGAGGAGAGAGCAGTGATGAGCAACAATGACCCTGTCACCCCAGGCCAGATGCAGAGCAGACACAGCAGGCGCAGCCAAGCAAGCAGATGCCAGGGACCCTCCCACCACCCGAGTGGCGTGTGGCCACCTGTGCATCCTGGGACACTGACCTCGGGTGCTCCACTGACTTCTACCTCCACACCGGTGCTCCAACTCCCCTGGCCCCACTCCACCCCCTCCCAGCCTCCCAAGGTGCTGTGGTGCCATGCTTCCCCCAACCCTGGCACACCCCCACAAGCAAGCCCAACCCAAACTTCCCATCTGGTCTGGTTCCCTTGACACTTCATCTGACCCTGAACTCTGAACTCTGAACTCTCTGAACTCTGCTTACCTGGGCAGAGCTGCTCCACGGGGCATCTGACGTACCAGTGTGACTTACCTGATAGACTTGCCCACCTTGAAGGTCCCTGAGACTCAGGGGACACCAGAAACGGTGGTAGCACTAAGTGGGGGCTTCCTTTCCCAAAACTGACAGATGGACAGTGCAGGGGCCAGAGACCCCACACAAAGGAGGGAGCCCCCAAGGACACTGGTGAAGCCCGGGAGACCCGACCTACTGTGCCAAGGGGCCAAGAGTGCTCTGACCAGACCACTGTTCTTTCCACGGGAAGGGACACCTTCCTATACTTTCCCATCGCACTTCTGCTTTTGCCTCACAAATAAAGAGACGAAAAGATTTATCTGGATGTGTGGTTTGTTCTGAAAGGGGAGGGCTGATAGCAGGAGGCAGGCTAGGGGGACAGTGAGGATATGGGAGAAAGGATAGAGTGTGCAGACAGGGTTGGCGGTGGGCGAGCACGGAGCTGGGAGGGGCGTGGGCAGGCTTGCTTTTGCTTGACTCTCTCCTGAAACAGCTCAGGGGGACATTTAGCATCAGGACTCCCTTCTCCTCCTAGAGAAAGGGAAGCCACGCCACTCTCACCTCCTCGGGCTCATTGCGAGGGGAGCTACAAATGGGAAAGAGACGGGGGAGACCATGGGGGAAGAGGGAGGGTGCCCAGAAATCCCAGACTTCATCCGGCCACGTGAGAAGTGAGGAGCGGCCGGGCTGTGTCCTATGACCACAGCTAAAGGGACTCCACAGGCGCTGAGCTGCCTTGGAACCACTCCCAAAGTCGCCCCCAATAAAGAAGGCCTGGGCCCCTGCCCTAAAAACGGCTATCCTGAGGGTACATTGGTTAGGGGATAGAAAGGAGCTCCTGGGATGGGTGGGGATGTAGAGAAAGTAGCCCTCCCTCGCTCACAAAGTCTGCACCCCTTCTCAGAAGCACCACCTCCACAGGAAGTCTGCAGAAAGACTAGGGGCACAAAACCAAGGGCCCTCCAAATGTGACATTAAGGATAGTGTGGGGATACAATGAACAGGGCCCCCACACCCCAGGGATAGCTCTGCCTTTTACATCCTGCCTGGAAATCGGACCTGAACAACAGACGCTCCCTTGTACTGAGAATGGGTCAAGGCCCTGAATACCCAGTGTGACAACCCAGTGTGACAACCCAGTGTGTTCCCACCTGTAGCACGATGACTGAGCTTGAGGCCCTGAGAAATACCCCCAAAAGCCCAAGACCCATTCCTTCATAACCACCCTCTCCATCCCACAGTGGTATCACTGTGCCCTTGGGGGTCCTAAGGAACAACTGACTAGCCCCCTTACAAAAAGGAATGTACCCCTGACAGCATCACCAGGAGATCATGGGTAGGATCCCAGGTTCAAGGTCAGGGGCTCAGCCTCACCTTAGCACTTCCGCGTGCTCTTCAGGAAGCAGCCAATGCCCACACCCCGGGATCTTGCAAACAGGACAAATGATCCCACCTTCAATTTCCCTGTCTATCACACAGGGCTATGGGGGGCTTCTGTAAGATTTCAAATGGGATCACAACTAAAGTCTTGAGGGCAGCCAACACTGAGTTCCTACCCTCTGTCTTATACAGGGACTTTCTGGTGACATGTGTTCAGAAGATTATGGGGCAGGAAGGACTGCAGAGAGCTGTAGGCACAGACAGGATTGGGGAACCTCCTTCACGGCCCCTAGCCTCTCACCCTGGGCCCTCCTACCCACATAACCTACGGTCTCAGAACTCATCACGTGACTCCACATGCAGCTGAAATCACAAGAGCCCCCAGAGACAGAGGCTGTTGCTGCCTATCTGTTTGTCTAAGACAGCCCCAAATGTCACAGTACAGGTCAGGGTCAGAGGCTCAGCTGCAATGATCCCAGCATTCCCTTAGTAAACTGCTCACAGAAGTCCCTGGATCCAAGTGACAGGGTGACTATCTTCCCACTGACCTGCCTTCCTATGCTCTAAGCGGGGAACCTGCAAGGGGAAGTCAGTTTCAAGTCAGGGCCTTTGGTTCCTAAAGTGCTCCCTGCCTGCATGACACTCTGCTTGGAATTCCTAAGAAGGGTCCATGACATTGAGGTGGGGCTGGGGTCCTAATGGGGAGGACAAACACACCATGCCTATACCCTAGCTTAATTTCCCTGGGTACCTCACACACAAAAGTGGACCTCAGAAACAAAAATCCTGTCCCTGCTTGGTGAGGGCCTCTCTGGGTGCAGTGCATAAATATCCAGATGCCCCTTATGTCCCCGCTGCTGCCAGGGGACACGAGGCCTTTCAGACCAAGTGGGAGTAGAAGTTAAAAAGGAAACTTAACAGTGAGCCAGGAGCCTGCCAAGAGGCTGGCAATGATGCTGATCACAGGGGTGGGCGCATTTACCCAGGGCCCACGCGTCCACAGACTATGAAGAACCAATAAAGGCCCACTGCTCTGCCAACCTACCCAGCAGGGGCTTTGTCCCCATTACGGGAGAGGAAGGCAGCCCAGGCTGTAAAGAAAGTTAGTGACCTGCTAAAGCAGTTATCAGGTTATCGGCGGAGCCACTTAGGAAGACACTGAAAAGCACAGCACAAACCTTTTTTTTTCTCCTGGGGAAGAGAAAAACAAAGACAGAAATTGGTGTGAAAGTTCCTGCTAGGTGATGCTGACATCACTCCTGCCACAGTAAAGGTGAAAACCAGAGGCCAGCCCCTGGCTGCAGACTCCACCCCCTGAGGAAGTGCCCCCACTTCCCAGCTTCAGTCCCCATCCAGAGAGCTCTGAGAGCATCCGGAAACAAAGAAGAGCACAAGGCCCTCCCTTGGCCACCCCTGCTTGTCCCCTCCCTTGCCTCCGTCCTCCCCTTATAAGATGCCCCTGCAGGCTCCAGGCCAGACATATCAGTTCCAGAGCTGGTGACAGCACATACTCCAGCTACTCACTAGCGGAACTGGATTTGCCACACTCTCTGTTACAGATGACCATGGGTCGCATTAGGAGTCCCCAGGCAGGACCCTGAGCCAAGAGTTTCCCCAGCTCCTGACCAGGCTGGAGCGGAGGAGAAGGATCCCTGCGTGCCTGGGTAACCTGGAGTGGCCCCACAGTAAGCAAGGGAAAGGTGACAGACAAACTATCACCTATCCCTAACCGCCCCTACCCACCTTGAGCCCTGCAGCTGGACACAGGGGGCCACTTGTCGCGATCTATGCCCATCAGGCATGACCTGAGAACTGAACAGAGAGCCTCATCTGGACTTCCATCCGCCTGTGTGAGCTCAGGGGCCAGCACGACAATCCTGACACCATGAAAGATTCAAGGTACACAGGTAGGAGGAAGGAGGGGCAGGGGTGAGGAAGGGGACCGGGAAGTGAGAGAGAAGAGCGAGGGTGTGGGTCCTCCCTGTCCTGCTCTGTTCAGGGAACTCCTGTGTGCCTGGGCTGGCTGCCATACCTGGTTAGTGCAGTTAACAATGGTGTGGAGATGGAGATGCCCCCCCCCACCCTATGCATGCGATGACCTGAGCTATTGGGGTACAGAAGACAGGACTCTATGCCAGCTGTTCGTCGTGCTCTTGAAGTGCCTATGGGCGCCCAGCCTGACTAGGGGTGTCACAGGGGAAGGACAAGGTAACCCTGACAGCTCTCGGGGGATCCACGGGCTGAATGAGATGAGACGTCTCCAGAAGGGCTCAAGGAGAGAGTAAGAGGCCGCCTGTAAGGACCTCAGCCTCCTGGTCATAGTATATTAATCCTGGATAGAGGCAGAGGCCCCTCAAGGAGACCCTGTTCTGTGAGCACTGGTAAGGCTCAGCCCTGCTCTGTTCCAGCCCTGCCCCCTGTCCTGCAAACAAAGATACCATCTCTCCGGGATCCACCCCTTTGTCCTGGGAACCGGGTCCCCTCAGAGGGTGCCCAGGAGAGAACAGATCCTGGAATCCCAGTGGGAGAAGCCCCGGGGTAGGCCCAGGATCGACCTCTGACCTGTCTACCCTTGGCCACAGAGTCAGGGGGTGACCCTTGGCCCAGCCCCAGGGAATATCCCACCAAGGATATAGCTCCCCTCCGAGGAAGGACCTCGGAGATGGCCCAGCCCCAGGCATTCCTCTCTAGGAACATGGAAAGCTGGGGGGGGGGGGACATGCCAGGGAATAGCAAGCTGGAAGACACATCCCCGTGGAGCCCAAGGTGCAGAGGAGGGTCTGGAGGCTACACGCGGTTGAAGGGGATGAAGAAAGGCATCATATAGGAGCTGAATGGCTGTGCAATCAACTCCTGCATGACGCCGTTCCCACCCCCCAACTTCTGACTACGACGCTGGAGAGACCCTCCTCCTGAAGAGAAGCAATGCTGTCAGCCCGAGCGACGGCAGGTAAGGCTGCTAGTAGTTAGAGAGGGGAAAGCGAGGGGCAGCCAGCCCTAAGGCACTTGGTGGCACTGTGGAACTCTCTACCCTCCTTCTCCAACCCAACCGCTTACAAATTCATCCGGAGACTGAAGGCCATGTAGGTAATGGAGGGAGGGAAGAGGAAGGGGAGAGGGAGGGGACACATGTCTGCTGCCAGAGGAGTGCCAACCACACTGCTAAGGTCCATTCTGTCCAGCCACAGCTCTTCCCAGGTGCATATCCAATGGGCTCCTCTGGAAACCTGGAAGGAAATCACGGGAACCAGCAGGAGCTTATACGGCCCCAGGTGGAACCCCAAAGACAATGTGTGGGTTAACAGCTGCTCAGAGAGGTGAGGGGACAGGCGGCAGGCGCAGCAAAAGTCCCCCCCTGGATTTGAGGGTGAGGGAAGTGCTTCCGATTGGCTCTGGTCTCGCACTTCTATGAATAACTAAAAAGACAAACTTCTTTTTGCCTGCCTGTTTGTGTCTGTTTGTTTTTGAAACAGGGTCTGGCTGTGTAGCCCAGAGTGACCTTGAATCCCACCATGTTCCTGACTCGGGCTTCCAAGTGTTGAGATGACAGGCCTGTGTCACCATGTCCACCTTGAACGGCGCATGCATATATGAATAAAGTGCAAAACAAAATTAATAACTTTCCTGTTTCTGTGTTGTTTCTCAACTACCATATCCAGCTTCCCCACTGACAGCCTTGCCTCCCAGGTCCCCGGGGAACGCTTGTTCCGTCACAATCTAGGACAGCAGGGGCAAACAACAAACATTTCTGAATAATGGCACAATGCTACCAAATTCCTTGAGCAAGTATGTGGAGGGGGAAAAGGTTAGGATGGGAGGTCAGGAAGGGGTGAGAGGGAGCAGCACCAGTGTGGAGGGACTCAGTGTAACTAAGGTTAAATGAAGAGAGAGAGAGAGACAGAGACAGAGAGAGACAGAGAGAGAGAGAGACAGAGACAG